CACAGAGTAAGTCCTTTATCACGGGGCGGCACTGGCGTTGCCTCGAGCTATTGCTTGCCTCGAGCGAGGTACTAGGATAGCAAACGGGATCCTATCATCAAACTTCATAATAACGCTGGGTTCGCCACAGCTGCGCGGTGACCCTTTGTGATGGAACCGATAGCAGCTTAGATGAAATAGTGTTCTTCTTTGGTGTGAAATAATCATGTCTATTAATTCAGTCAGACATCAGCGTCTCTCCCCTCTCTTCCCCTCTCTCTCTTATTCCATTCCTTATCCGTGAAAATATGCGATTTCCTAGCAAATGGTCCATTTTACTCAAGTAATTTTTCATCGTTGATTCACAGAAAATAAGACTGGGGGGGTGTGAGCTTTAAAAAAAGGGCAGCTTCGTTCAAGGCACAGTGCAGGGGGCCTTTAAACTGTAACAAAACATTTGATGCGTTTTGTCATTATGTTTTTGAATTTGCTGGACTCGTTTACTTTGAAGGCTATGCCATATATTCATCCCAGAAAAATAGGCAATAGAGAGTGCTTATCGAATAACCTAGTTCTCTTGTGAATTCACATATCTCAATTAATAGATGTAGGCTGAGGTTGCTGCTGTCAATTCTCAATATGATCAACAAACCAGATGTAATGGTTATAAAGCATGAATAGTTATTTCGTCATTGATATACTTTCTTAGTAATGTCACTATGGTAATATTATAGTCTAAAATAAGGTTGCTTCTTAATGAAATGCGATTTTTTTTCACTCCATAAAAGATTACATCAATAGTCTATTCCTTTGATGTAGACATAGGCCTATACGTTTTTTGGTATGAAATAAAGCTAACACATGTAAACATTATTCTATTATAATTAGGTAATTTTGCCTGATATTATTATTATTATTATTATTATTATTAATAATATTATTACACCAATAATACCAACTTCGATCATAGGGTATAATTTTAGCAAGCAGTTTTGAGCATGAGAAAGATTTCCACTTGTTTTGGACATAGGACTTGTTACCATGGTTTAAGCCAGCGAGAACCCCAAAGCATGTTATGGGGTCAGCATCGCTTGAGGGTTTGGTTCTTTTGAAAAATATTATATCTTCAGATTGCACACTCCAAGTCTTGGTGCAACTGTTCGTTTGGGGAAAAACTGTTTCTCACTGCAAACCATTCGTAGCTTTTTCTAATGTTATGTCAATATTCGCTTATAACCCAATAGCTGATGCTCCTGAAGCCAGAACATTATGAGGCAAATTGATGGAATTTCGTGTATGTGTTATCTAATTTCATTGAGTGTGATCAAATTCAAATTTTCCATTGACCAAATAAATATACATTGTGGGCTAAGTTTCTATATTTATAATGCATAATTAAGATACAATAGATAGACCTACCACTCCCCACTTTTACCAAGTTCACTATCTAGGCGAGCTATACAAACAAGTCGTTCTACTGGTCCCCAGAAATCTGTAACGAACGTCATGTGATCGAATGACCAACATAATGACACAATAACTAAAGTGAACAGACTGCATGAGACCAATAAATAAATAAAGGGATAGATCAATTAATGAATGAATTAATAAACAAATAAATAGTATTTTTGGGGTGTTGTTTATGGAGCGTGAAGCCGTTTGGTTAAATGTTCGCATCATTTTCGAGGGCTAAGGTTTGATAAAAAAGAGACAGCCCTCAAAAGGCGGTTGATTGAAATGGCGTGTGCCGGGCTGACGGGAGCCAGCGAGGGACAAAGCCCCGCGAAGCCATGGCCACTCGAGCAATTATTCCTCCACGCTGAATTTGGATTAGTGCAATGGAAAGAAGCATATGTTTGGCCCGGGGCGACACTCCCCCCGGCTGCCTTCAGAGAATGCGGGGAGAGAGAGAGGCAGAGAGACTGAAAACTAGAATATAAACTATATAAACCGACAGGGGAAACATTAACAACATTTTTAATCCCCTCTTTTTGTATATTTGGGAGACACAAGCCCATGAAATTAGTCGACCTCTGCCTTTGACAGGTGATGGAAATGATCGGAAAACAACCTTGCAGCCCATGAATTGTGATGAGCATGAGCAGTCATCACACCACTAAACATTTTAAGATACAAAGTAAATACATGCCCGATGACACCATATAAACATGATATTATTTTAGCCTTAACAAAACGTAATCAAATATCATGAAGGCCTATTAGGCTATTAATGGTCTGAAAACAACAAGGTTAATGTTTATAAGCCAAGATAAGGCCATCTAAATGAAATATTGTCTTTTGATGTTAAATTGATGTTATCCCTGACAATTTGGTGCACATAAATGAATTGGATAATCTAATTCTGGGTGAGATTTTTTCCCTTCACATTAAAGAAGAAATCAGTAGTGGCCTGTGCACATATAGCCTAGGCCTATATCTCTATATGCTTCAGATTGTGTGTGTGTGGATGTGTGTGGTCCCAAAGTTGTCACCTCAAGAATCATCAAACACCTATCATCATTTCGGAAGGAATGACCCATATTGCGTTGGAATTATCGACTTCTCAGCTTACTCGTGAGTCCTTTTGTTTATTCAAAGTCAGTTAATGTTTTCTAATCGATTACCTGATGTCTCAAGTAATCAAGAACGATTTGGTAGAGTCGTTGACCTTTCGTGGCTTTTGAGCCCCGGCTCGCACAGTGGGGTGAGGTCAGTGGAGGGGGGTCGAGACCGAAATGAGGGTTGATGTCAGACTTGACGACAATTAGCCATTTTGCGCTTCATTGCAAACTTATAGAGTCACATAATTCGATTGCACCGGTCCGCGTTTCAATTGTCATTTGAGTGAACCCTATATGCATAGAACACATATGTCTCTACTTGTAGAATGTCCTGCAGTTTGCAATTCGTCATTAACAAGATATAAAGAAATTAGCAATTTGGTAAACAGATGTGTCCATGCAGGAACTAAAAGTAGTAGCCTAAAGAAAAAATTATTTAAAAAACATGGTAATTCCCCAAATAGCCTATACATCGTTTGCATGTCACAGATGGAATGTTCTACTGTATGCACGCTCGACACAACAGGTTTTCAGTCCGGAGGTCAATATTATAACGACCCATGAGGTTACTTGTGTACACAACACATGACAAAAACGTATTTAGCGTTTATGGAAACTGCATGGTTCAAAGCTATAGTTGCACTTTGACTAAATGGTGTTTTTTGAGTTAGCTAGCCTATCTGATGCAATGACATTAAATGCAATTATCATTATTTTAGGCCTGTGTTAGTCTATTTAATCATTTTTCATGTTTGTTAACCCTTGACTTTGTATTTGGGGCCACTCACATTTGAAGGGTAAATTAATTAATGTATTAATTAATTTATGTTATTTCACGCATTGACTGGTATCGAAATGGAATTGACCCAGCACTGCACATCAAACCAACGCTATATATAGCCACTAGTAACAGTCTTTAGTATATTGCCAAATCTGGCAGCTCGAAGTATTGTATTGCCATTAAAGATGTTGGATGTTGTGAGTTTGGTCTTGTCTATTTTGAAGAACAGGTCGTGGTGCAGTGAAGTCAGCTCACCAACCAATGGCTCCCAACAACATCTCAACAAAATAGTTTCCGACTATTGTCAGATAATCATGCGTGCATGCCTGTGGAGTGTAGGCTATGCGTGCCTGAGCGCATGCATCTCTGCATATTCGTGTGTATGCAATCAAGGGTATGCTAATGCATGGGAAGATCTGATATAAAAAGTAAAAAAAGGAAATTGTAGCCTAACATTTAAGAATAGGCTATTTAATAACAACTCGGGGAACAGTACACAACAGAGGCACGTATTAATTATTATAGTGGAATCAAGTGTAATTGATGTAGCTGAAACCAGGGGTTACGGATTGAATTAGCCAAATTCAGTTGGGTATTGCTGACTGGCTCTTCAAATTTCAGGCCTCTTCCTTGTTGCAAATTACTTTAGCTGTAAGGCATTATGTAAAACTAGATCTACCTGTTTAAGATCAAATTATGGCAAAATAAAAAAAATCTTATTAAAACAGTAGCCTATGTAAATTACAGGTTTGTATCAAATATATATATATTTTTTTTTTCGGAACACTTTTTTTTTAATTCAGAAATTGGGGCAATGGCATTGCATGTTAATTCCTTTATAGGCCTTCACGTACTTTCGATAGCTGCCATTGTGATAGATATGTATAATGCTTTCGTTTCGCTCTCAAAAAATGTTTTCATTTACCCCGATACATTTATTAAATAACATTAGCATTAATGACACACGTGAGGGGCTTCCTAATACCAGTGAATGCTATTTAATACGATTGTTTTCCTTTAAAGTGACTATTTATGCTTTTTAATGGAAGGAGCAGCCGGGTATTCCTCTTTATGAGTGAGCTATTGTGCCTGGGGTTAGGATCCCACACACAATCTGAGATGCAGCCAACAAAAACAGCCCTGACAGACAATGGCTCGCTTCACCTGCTACAGCACTGCACCGCAATTATGCCAAGGACATGTACAGTTAGGCTTCATTCACCTTATTTGAAAACAACTGCTTCGGAATAAAACAGACTTGGGGGGGGATTTTAAAAAAGTTGCTCAGTAGGCCTAAATCTATCTCGATGTCACAACATCCCCATGCCACAACGCTCTCGACTACCAGACAGTGGAAAATAGAACAGAGCACAGACACAGGATATGCATATACACCCACCGACTCCACTCCACCATGCTTCAGTAGAGATTGATTTCGAGGTGCATGCCATCAATACACAATCAAAACTCCATTTAAATTCGCTTACGTAATGCATTGTCCCCGTGGCTTTTTGCACGCAAAACAAGGCTACAGCAGGTGTGTTAGAAGCATACATGATAATTTACATCGATATGACTACAATGAAGCCTATGGGTAGAGATGTGACCAAATATAAAGATATATCCACTTGCCAACTTATTTGTTATATCATTTAACTGAATGCAGTTGAAATAGGTTTCCCACATTTTATTCCAACTGAATGCTGTCAAACAACACCAATAATTACAGACAGGCTAGTAATAACAAATATTTGATGCATGTCTTAAAAGCTTTAACAAAAACTAAATAAAAAAACAATAGAGTGGTATGGAAAGGCAAATGTAATAACCTTCAACACAAGCCATATACATCTCACTAATTTTAAAGAATGGTTTTGCTTGAGGGCTGGCGCTTCACACACACACACTTCAAACACCAATGTATTCATTGTTTTCTGTGTCATTTGGCATGGTCAAAAGCTCGGCTCCGGTTTTGAATGATCCTGTGCTCTGAACTATGAGTTGAAAGTATAAGTTGTTTTATTATACTTGAGGGAAACAATGGGTTCAGCTGCTTATTGCAAGGAACACTCGTCAGGGGAGAGTTAAACTCAATTACTGTAACCGTGCTGAATAGAAAAAAACTGCCAAGAACGAAAATACAACCGGGCGTATCAACCACTGAATAAAAAATGAAAATATATGAATAAAAATCGACATGAAGCGTATCAAATGTTTATTTTTTTCTGGCCAACAAAGGACTATAATACATTGACAGGCATGGGAACTATTGCCAGCACAAGTCTATACAATACAGCTAAAACCGCCTCCAATTTGGACATTGGACATACAAGATATCAGGTGGTCCCAAATGTTTAGAATTTCTTCGAACATACAAAAAAAAATCAAAAGACAATATCCATTTATTGCTTTTATGGTGCTTCAAGGGAAGAACAAGTGAAACGTATTCTGATTGGCACAACACATAAAAGCTTGTATAAAAACAAGAAAGTAGAAACACAAAACAGTTCTCTTCAGGGTCTCCATTATGCTCTATTCAATTTAAAAAACTGAATGGAATAAGGATGATAGAGCTAGAGAGAAATGGAGGTTTATTTCTATTAAATTTGTTTACTTGCTTCAATGTCGCCTCAACATGCTACAAGAGGGCTGAATTGAAATATCCCAGAGAAAAAATACCCCAAACTTCTGTTTTCTAAGAACCATAAAACCACATGAAGAACTAACCGAATATTTAAACCCACTAAAACAGGAGGCACCAGATAAATAAAAAAGAAGTTTCAACAGACGCACCATATTTACAATTCCCATTAAATTACACATAAATAAATATATACATACATGAACACAGATTCCCTTATATAACCGTGAATCGTGTTGAAATTCAAAGTTCAAGTTGGTCGCTTGGAGTGAGAGTCTACAACTGAAGTCATGACATGGAACTCTGTGGATTTTTTTCAAGTTTATTATTCACAATACTGATAATAATTCATCCTCTTTTAGCTTCTTTTTGTCACATGGCTACAATCGTAAATTGAGAGATAGAAGGGTCGCTCGATTTCAGTCCGTTGCAGCTCATAAAAAGAGGGAGTACATAAAAAGTCATAATGTGGCAGAGATCTTTCCCTCTCTGGAGGTGTTCCTTTGCGCCTTTCAGCATTTTTTTTTTCTGTTTTAATTATTGTGGGGATCTTGCGCATCACTTCCCGTGAATCCAAAGTTGAATGGTAGTAAAAACAAACATGTAAAATCATCGCGAGATCAGGAAGTGGCACGTTTACTTGATCAATAGTATTTATATGTATTTATAATATTTATATTGGGCTTTCAGGTGGGAATCACTTTCTGTGCTTCTCGTCTTTGTCTCCGCCTTTAGTGCCGCTGTCTGAGTGACTGTTGTTGTTCAGGTACATTTTGTCCATGGCTTTAATCGCCTCGGTCAGATAGTTCTGGAGAGCAGTGAGGGCCGCGCACATTGCTGGGGTCCCGAATCCGTGAGAAATTAGACTGAAATGGGTCAAGCAACTCTGAATCCCTGGCTCAAGAATAGGTTGTGGTCGAGAATTCCCCAAGGGCGTACGGTCCTGGGAAAGCAGGTCTGTGAACTCTTTGCAGATTTGCCTAAAATGGGGAGACAATATAAATGTTAATTACAATCATAATGCCAGTCTGCCCCTAATATGACTTATAGGCCTATACGAGACGTGGTCAAAAATCCTATTAATTTGATATAGTTGGTGCCACAACATTATAATGTGGCCTATGGCATATTTGCTCAAAGGGACGTAAAAGTATAGTGTCATACTATGTCTAAATGTTTTAATGCAGTGGGGAAAGGTTGATGTTGGAGTAGAACCAGCTATGTGTCAATGCAATCCCAATCACAGCAAACAAAATGGTTGCATATGGATGAATCTGAGGCCTGCTCAATTGACCAATAACAGTCAACTCCATATTGGATAGGTTCATTCATATAGGCTATTCGTGCACGTGTTTTAATGCTAAAATGTTTGGCATGAATCGAATACAGAGCATGGATCTCAAATTCAGTAGGCCTAATTTTGTTGAAAGTGTCTAATTCAAGAAGTGTTTTGTTTATTTTGGCATTTTGTCGCGTGCATAACATCACGTGATGACCTGTCTGGCGCATTAGAAGGACAAATAATTTGACATTAGTCGATTAATTTGTATCCAATTATTTTCTTGTCCGTTTTAATGTCACATCCATTCAGGATGCATTTAATTAGGGGCAAAATAGACTACTACAATGTAACACAAATAACGAGTCCATAAAATAAATACTTTAGAAATGCATGTGAAAAATATAGGCCTATCAAAATGCCTACAAAAAATGATAAAAAACGAAATTATAGAATTGACCACGACCATCCATTTGTGTTTGCAAACACTGTCGATGTAAACACGAGAATTATCAATGTTTTGACATATGAAATGTGATAATATAGCACTTACTTCGTTGCCAATAACATGTTTTTCCTCTGGACTTGTTCGTTTGGGTCGGAATGCTGACGGTTTGTATATTCAGCTACTGCCTTGGCTGGAAACTCAGTCTCGCATACGTAACCAAAATCTCTGGCAAGATGCACGGCTTCGCCTGAGAAGGAAAGAATGGATGGAGTGTATAATATATTGCTCTAAATTGGACATCAAATATAGACCAATTAACACTTCCACTTAACACATGATTCATCCAATGAACGTCCTCGGCCAAAGAGAAGGCCTTGACTTTGTATCAACTTCTAAATCAGTAGGCTATAGGCTAGCGCCTGTACCTTCCATCACATGATGGATTATTTTATTGTAGTATTTTTTGTTGTTGTCATTTATCAGACGCTCTTATCCAGAAAGACTTGCAGGAGACATTAGGGTTAAGTGCCTTGCATCGGCTCGGGAATTCGAACCAGCAACCTTTCGGTTACTGGCTCAACGCCCTTAACCGCTAGGCTACCTGTTATCAATAAGAGTCAGGCCCTCATTCCGTGAGAAGAGTTAAATATCAGGGAAGCAATATAAAGTGTCATAAAGAGCGTCATGCATATCACCATGTCATTGCTTAGCCATCCCTAAACATTATTGAAAGCACAGCAGATCATACAACGAAAGCAATTTTAAAAGGCTATATGCAAATCTCGCTCCTACATACTTTAGCCATGAGAATTATAGGTTCATTCCATTGAGGTCTGCCTTTTTTGTAGATTTTTTCAAGTCTTTGGTTTTAATTTCCTGAAACAGTTGGGTTTTTACTGCGGGGCTTCCTGCCATAAGCCTCAACTCCGGAAGAACGCATGCGCCAATTAGCATCAAAGCTCAAGTCCAGTAAACTCGTTTCCATAAAATGGAGCGGATCATAAACAATAACAGCACTTCAGAAAAACGCAGTGTCTCTTCACTAAATAACCGCGTGTCTTCATATCCCCCCACACCTCCCCCCTTATCGCAAAGAATCAGACATTTCTTCAACCTCATTACCATACAGCACCCAATTTCAATGAAGTACAGTGAATATTGCATTCGCTCTTCGGCTGTAATGATTAACAGGAACCAATGAACCGTCCCAGGCTTTCACCTTTAAAACCCACAGCTCACCAAATACCACCGCACTGAATAATAAGGTTCAACTTTGCAAGGAAAATTGATTTATTCAATAGCAATGGCATCTTCATAGTATACCACAATTGACAATGTATTATTTAATAGTCTCATAACATATAGATCTTCCATAGGTCACATCCACTACCATCACAGAGAAACAGAAAGAGTCCCTGCATGTGTAAATAATAGTAGTCTAATAGCAGTAGCAGTAGCTGTTGGCTAGTAGGCCTACTATTACTACTATTACTATAACTATGATTACTACTACTACTACTACTGCTACTAGCCTAATATAGGCCTTATAATAATGATAATGATAACAAGCCACTATAGGGTTAATAAATCAATCGATTCACCTCTGCCAGAGGTGAAACAGTTCCACACTCCCGCAAGACAATAAATAAGCAAATGCCCATAACCCTGCTTCAACAACGAGCCTAATTCATCTGGCACAAACTAGGCCAGCCAGGCTAACCGAACCCCACCTCACACTGTACTAGCCTATTCTAGGACCACTTTCACGAGAGGATTGCACACATGTAGGCTAAATACACAGGCCAATGTTGCGAAAAGCCTTTTAGAATTATTACCATCATCCTCTCTCTCAAAAACACACATATATCCTTCATGCATGACTGGTTTGCAAGGCAAAGTCAGTCCAAATTACATGGATGAGCGCATATGCTGATTTCGAATGTCTCCCCTGAAACCGTTCAAAGCACCTGCTATCACGGGAACCGGAACTCAGATAATTTACAATGCAACTTACCTTCGACTAGTGACGTCAGCAGGGTAACGTTTGCGGCTTTGCGTCTACCTGCAGGTAGATTTAATCCGATTTTATCCAATTTCTCTCTGAGGGACCTTCCGCCATTCTTAGACTTGGCCCTGTGACAAGAACAGAAAAATAGGTTGTATGAATAGGCTAATTTGTAAAATGGCATGTTTTATTTTTTTCCCAACCATCATTGGACACACTATCTGATCCAAAAAGGTCTGAATGAATAAGCATGTTATTAATCATATTATTGAATCAAAGAGGTAGCTATCTTGATTTAAAAAAGAACAATGCCATAATAGCATCGTCTTCCTTCCATACACTTCTATAACACTATCGGTGTCTACAGGCCTATGTGTGTGTCAATATAGGCTATGTATTTTCAAATCACAGAAACTACTTGATTTGAGTGCAGAGTGTATACCCAAAATACTGGCTTTGTGTCTAGGTTGGAATCTATAGACTAAACACTGCAGTAGTTTACTGTTGTTGGTATAGGTCTATATATGATTTGCTTAAACTAGTCTTACAGGGTTGAGGGTAAGGCCAATAGGCCTACATTAATTTGTGGGCTACATTGCGAGTGTAAAGTTAATATGGAATTTATCAGTCTGCCTTTTGGGCTGTTTTAAATGCAGGAGGTGTCACGCTTAGTCGATTTTAATTATACCTGGGATAAAGAATGAGGAGAGACATTAAAGTCCGGCTCACCTTCTCAGCACCCCGCCCAGCAGTGACGCGTTGAGGCACTCAGGCGGCGAAAGGCGTCTCTGCACTTCCGCCACCGTGACCTTGTACTTTGATGTGGAGCTGAGCAAGGACAGGCGACCCGGAACAGAGCAGAACACCTCGTTGGGGTTTACCACACCGCCAAAAAGACCGTCCTTATTTATCGGAATGGCGGAGACGTTGTTGTTCTTGGATAAAGAAACTGGACCTAGGGAAAAAAGAGACTAAGTTCAGTGAATCTTATTCAATGTAGACCGTTAATCATGAGATTCATATCAAACGCAGTGTGGGTGTAGAGGCCTACACACAATTAAAACAATTGGCATAGGGGATGACAGGCCAAATAATACTAATATTAACACGAATAATAAAACATTAATAATGATAATATAGGCCTATTTATTGTTTTTCTTATTTTTGTTATTAGGCCTACGCACAAAGGCCTAACCATTGCAAAATGTTTTACCATATTGTACGCCTCGTATAGGCCCAATATTTGTTTAGGGCAGGCTATCTATGCAATTTGAACTCTGAAACATCGCACGCTTTTGCAGACGCACGCGCACACATGTTGCAATACTTAAACACACACACAGCACGCGAAGAGAAGCCTTTTTTCAAATATCCATGGTCTCCCCAAAAATACAGTCGCGCGTGTGATTTCACTTTGCATGGGTTACCGTTTTGTGTGCAGTAACCGGAGACAAAGGGACTAGCGCTTTTGGTTAGATCACTTGTGACATTAATAGCCCAGGGGAGGCTAATAGAGACGATAGGAGTTAAACGAACTCTTGAGATTACTAATATAAGAGCTAATTATCATGTTGATGCGGAAAGAGCATCTCTCAAGATTTATCCCCTGCGCATCTAATTTGAACTGACAAAAGTCTCCACATGGCGAGAGGAGTAACGTTCAACCTGACCATGAAGTAGGCCTAGCACGCCCGAAATGGTCTTATAGGAGTAAACAATTGAATTCACACGCAATTATGCTAGGCCCATATATGATAATGCAACACTGAACGCATTTTCCATAATCAACCGAAGCCAAACACTGATGGAATGAGACTCTATAAATGGTTTAAAGACCTTGCCTATTTTTGCAGCCTAGATTTTTTCCACCTTTGATGGAGGATCTGGTATCATCCTGATACTTAAAACATAGAGCATTAACAACTGCCATTTTAGATTTGCTCCCAAATGGGCCTATATTTACGATATCTAGCGAAAAGATGCATCAACACATTAAAACCAATAGCCTGAACAGCATAGCCTATATAGGGCATATTCGCATCTGACTAGGCCTACTCTGAAATGCTGACATTGGCATTCATTGATGAAAAGGTGCATTCAGTTAGTTTGATGCACTCGAGCTCACGTAATAAAAAACACTGCGCATTAATCCACTTGGTTCAGTGCGCTGGCTACCGCACGAGCTGCGGAGCAGAGTGGTGGTGTGGTGTGATGTGCAGCTTGTGGAAACATGCATGGTATCTCGAAGGAAATTGCTTACCTTTTTTAATTACAGTCTGGTCTGGGATGTGAATTCCTTGATCCTCAACATGCTGCAACACACAGATGCAAAATACACTATTTAATATAGAATACAATGGAATTAATTTTACATGTCATGCTGTTTGCAAAAGACTGGCATGTAGCCCACAATCAAAAAATATTATGGGCCTATACCTGTTATTATTTTCAATGAGGGTGATATTGGCTATAGCTGTTAGGCAGTGCGCCTCATGCACATCAGACTTAAATAATGAAGCTCTGTCGCCCAATAATCGTGACCTCATTCCAACCGCAGCTTGGATTCTTACGAAGAACTATGAATCCAAATTGTATTCGGAATAAAGGTGTATTACACATCGTGCACGCTAATTGGGGATTAAGCATTTGTTTTAGAAAAAAACCAAAACGCGTCATTGCTATAGGCATTTACTTATTCGATTTATTCGTATTATCTGCTGAGCGATGGAAATTCATCTAAAAAAAATGGTGCTCATAGTGTGCCTGCATGTGCAAAACTCCCGAGTGGACATTTTATTATTGCTCTCAGCCTCCCGCTCATATCGGCGCTTGAGTCTTTTCAATGAGAACAATTAAATTAAAGATGAAGGGAGGATATCCAGAATCATGTCCAAAAATGACAGGGAATATTAATCAACAAGCGCGGCATACCATCCATTTTGTGAGAGGGGTTGCAGATCAAATTATAGTTCTCAGAGCTTCAGCTTTGATCTGTTTGTTTAGGGCAAGTGTTTATAACACTATGCATCTTTTCAGTGGAGGGAGGGGGTCAACAAAATAATACGGCTAATAAAGTTTCAACACAGCTCGAGAATCTAGACTGAATAATCCATGCAAATAGGCTTTTATACAATGTTTCACTCGAGAGCCGTTTGTAAAATAAAATGTATGTTGGAACATTTACATAAAAAGGCCTCTGTCAATTAAATGCAATGGTTATGGCCATAATCTTTGATCATTTCTGCATTTATAAAATTGCATGCCATGCACTGAGTCATTAAATGTAGGCCATGACATTTCATACAGAGCTGCTAATTTACTGCAGCAAACACTTAGGCTATAGAAGGCTACGTGTGTAGGCCTAATAATAATTTCAAAACAATAATAAGAAAATAATAACAACAACAATTATTATTATAATAACAACAACAACAATAATGTAATAGTAAAAATGTAATAGTAATAATAATATAATTACCAAATAATGCTGAATTACCTGAACATCTTCTAAAGAGTGAGGTATTCCATGGATTGGGATAGAATCTGAGAGTCCCGTATCGATTCCGTGGCCCGACGGCAGGAGCACTTCTCTCCGGTACTCCCTACAGAGCTGATGGGGCAAGCCGCGGTGCTGGTGCAGCAAACTGCTCTCCTGACTTTGCCTCTGGCCCGGCCAGCCAGGGTGCTGTGGCTGAGGCTGAGCGTGCAGAGAGTTGAGGGAGTAGGGGTCGTTGACGTGCGAGTATGGGTCCTGGGACTGGGGGTAGATTGGCTGGTAGGGCGGAGGAAAGTACGGTGGCTGGAAGTCGGAGTTTGGGGTATGGGAGAGTGGAGGGGCGCTATATGGAGACTGGCCCACGCCTCCCAGCTGAGGTAGCCTGGCTGTCCCATTGCTGGTATCGTGACGATCCTGCAGGAAAAAAGAATCGGAGAAATTAAACCTATACACCAACCCTCCATTTTACCCGTTTTCACAGGGGCTTTTATGGACTGTCACCTACCATAATTGCATGTCTATTCAAAGTCGTTGGTTGAAATAAAATCAACAGCAGTTCTCTGTTGAACGCAGCAATAATAGCCTAATAATAATAATAATAATAATAATAATAATAATAATAATAATAATAATAATAATGCTAACAATGATAACAGTGATAATTACTGTAGGCTAATAACACACCCGCCGTAGGCCTATTTGATCATTTTCGGGAGGAAAAATGAATACAGTTGAAATATTTCGATAGGCCTACTGAAATAAAATGTGAGAGCAATCTTGTATTCTTTTTATTTTTTGTATGATAGCTTAGCAAAACGATTTGATTAAAAAAGGCAATAATCGGAGTCTGAATGCTGCACGAAGTAGGTTATAACTCAGTCTTTGCCACAGAGTCCAACTTACCATCGCGGAAAAGCTGTGCACTAACATCTGCGAAGATTTTCAAGCGATTCAAAAGAGAATTTTCAGAAGAAAAACGTTGATAAAACAACGAAAATTTACGAGCAAACAAAATAATGCCAGCAACAACACTATTGAAAGATCACGGAGCCCAACGTTCAGATAAGCACCACCGAAGAACGATAATCCATCAGAATTTGGTTAAATTCCCACTGCCCTTCATTCGATTCTAAAATGCAATGTTTGGTCTTGCGGATTTATGTTTAAAGTTTCTTGTATCCCTGTTCCGTCTTCTGGCTCTATCACTGTGCTGTTCCCTCGACTGAGCTCATATTAGCAAAGAGCTGCTTCTTTCCTTGGACTCCTAATAGCAGATATTCATGACTATTAATATTACACGAATTCTTAATAAGGGAAGAATGGTCGGAAATCGAGCGTGAAGCGAGGAAGCAACTCAAGGCAGAGTCTGTACTAAATGACGTCCATTGAATGAGGAATCAGTATATCTATCTAATCAGAGATGGAGAGAGAAAGAGGGAGTGAGTGAGGAGGGGAGAGAGAGAGAGGGAGACAAAAAGAGGGACATTCTCTTGCGTCTGACGAATCAGAGAGAGGGGGGAACATTTTAAAAGGTTCGAAGGCAAGCACAAGTGAAAGAAAGACAGAATGAAGGGGGACCAGAGATAGAGGAAGAGCCATGGAAGGAAACAATGTGCACCTCTGATTCGTGTGAAAATCCAGCAAACGCTGAGGGCATCTCGGCTGGCGCATTTTTACTGTTCAGAGGGCGGTTGTCTGCTCGCCCTGTCCCTTTGTTTTTGACTTCAGATTCCGACGCCTCGCGTTCCATGGCCCTTCCCGTGTCTCTCGAATGAATTAATCCACGGTTATTCGAATTCAAACTACGTCAGCCGAGCTAACTTTCACTCGGAGCAAATATATTCCAAAATTATCATACGGATACGCACCCCGCACGCTTAACACATCCACTTCCCACTTCTAACCTATTTGCACGAGACCATTTTGACAAAACAGCGTAAGAGTAACCATTATGAAAACACTGTAGTTAACACTGATTTCGATAAAACAGAAACGGGTCTATTAGCCTACCAGTAAACTAAACTTGAATGAGAGAATCACAAATTCAAACACGGGCAGCGAAACCCAGCCCAGCGTTTCTTCCCTGCTCTTTGCATGCCTATTCTCCAGACGCGGTTAAAACACGTTCAACTGGCTGCACCACTCCTAAACAACTCCCTGATATGACTGCCAAACTTTCTATGCTATAATAACAATTACTCAGCGTGTGCAGTGCACACACACGCTAAGGGCTAGAAATGCACCGATTTATTTCATAAGAATGTAAGGGATAGGCATCACATTATTTGTATACATTTAAACACATTATTTTAAACATACTTATTTTTCTATGATACAGTCAGCAAATGCATTTTGGGTATGTCTCCCTGAGTACATGCTCTTACATTATGTGTACATTTAACATGTTTCTATGTATATTAACATGTTATGCAGTGCGTTTTGATAAATCCTATTTTATACAATTACGTTTTAAATTATATAAATATTTTATTCTCTTTTATTGCCTGTTTTTCTATGGGTTTGCCATTGATTACATTAATTTATTGATGTGAAAATGTATTATTATTATTACTATTACTTTATTTGCACTGTTAATATTGAAACTGTGTAAAATGTTTCTACACAATTAAAAATGGCATTACTCCATACTCCAACTCCATATCAAAATATCTAACATATTAAATAAACCAGTATGCATCTGTATATCCTTCAATGAATTAAATATGTTCCCAGACAACTGTCAAAACAATTAGAGATTTGGACAAAATAAAAATAAAGCAGTATACCCCATTAATGACATGAAAACAGCAATAAATCAAATATGAGCCTCTTACCTCGCAATCTTCATATTTTATATTATCAGTTAATTTCCAAAGCATTTTCATGGGTTGTGGTGGGTATTGAGAGCGCCTTTCCTTGTTTTACACAGTGAATTGTGCTCTAGCTGAAACTATTTTAGTTGAGCTTGGCTGTCTGCGCTCGGAGATCTCCCTCTAATGGTGGAAGTAAAAGGCTCGCGCACCACTGTAATAACATTCGCATTCCCTCATTAGCATATCAACAGCCGTTTGATTCCCATCTGCCCAACACCAATGGACAACACAGGTAACACTGTAGCGAGACTTCAATTGTATTTACTTCTCCCACATTCAATGAGAATATACAGTACGATCTGAGCGTACATTTTATATGCATTCTCTATGACAAAAAGGCAACAACCCACCCTGCACCTAGGGGTGTGAACGTTCATTTGATGGCTATGATAAAACAAATAATTAGATAATACATGTTATGTATTAATTTGCTTCCTTTTTCGTGCATATTTGTTTAAGGAAATGTGGTTTCATAAAAACAACTGTTTATGTAACAGCTTCATAAAAACAAGTTCCATAATCTCACACCCTACATAGGCCTATGGTATAATCTGTCTGTGCTTAAATTTTAGAATATTTAACTTGCTCTGAAGAGCGTGCCACACGCAAATACTCTATCTCCTGTTCTCTTAATACTTTGTTGCCAACCTGATTTTCGTAAACTGTTGTTTTAGACATATTGAGAGTTGAGACCATGAAAAGCTATTCTGTCACTGTCATGCAAAAGAAGAAACACTCTAAAGTGGGTATACAGCTCCATTCACGACATATAAGAGCGCCGTTTTTGGAATGTAAATAATTAACACAACAACATAGCTTGTTTAATGTCAATGAGGTCTGAAGTATTTGGGCGGGTCAAGAACCAGGTCGCCAACTCCTAGGCGTTGGCCTCTCCTAGTTCAGATTTACATTTTTGGTGGGGTACCTTTACCACCGGTTGTTATTAATGAGAGGGCCAATGAAACTAGATCACAATAACAACTATCAGCGGGGTAAAGGTGCCTTAAAAAAATAAATCGTGGGGTGTGTGGGTCTGTATGTGTTTCTATATGCTGCTGTGTGGATTTTAGAGGTGGTGTGCTTTTGGAGAGTGAAACCAAAATGCTCAATCTCACCATGGCTTGGATTGTTTCACCGACCACAGTTTCACTGCGTTAGAAAGTTCTGTTTTAAAATCTACATTCAATTATTCTTTAAAAAACATTTACATTAGGCCAACATGCATATCCACAGTAATAGGCCTACATCGGAGAGATTTGTTTTGAATTTTTAGATGACAAGAACCACAACTTCTGGGCGAGCTATAACTTTAGTATGATATGCCATTTATCATCTCAGAGACGAATTAACATCTAAAATGATAAGTTGGAGCATGTCTGATTTGTGCTATTTTTATTGATTTTATTCACATTTCAATAAACACTAGCCTATAGCAAAACAATACGTGTTACATCCTAAAAGATGTTTACTGTTTACACATCCCATACTCTATAGGCTATTATTTGTTTCTATATAAGGAACGGTTTTCTATAGTCTTAAATTGCATGATATATAAAGTGATATAGCCTTCTATGCATCAAGTTAAACCTACTTTCCCCAAGTTATTACTAGAGCCAATGCGCTTTTGTTAATCAGGCGTAAATAGGAACATTATCAACGTTTGCGAGGAAAAATAACACTGTCATAGTAAAAATAATTAAAACTATTGAATAACTTTCTAATATTTAGGCTAAATATAGTGCTAGGCTACTAATTCTACAATGAAAAGTTGATGGTAATGCATTTCCCAATTGTGGCCATATATTCGACATATATTACACTCCTGTAGGCTAGTTAGTAGCCTACACGTTCTTTGTCTTGAAATAAACAGCACATACCTGCCAATCCCCCATTTTGCCCATTATTGACATCATTTTTTCTTCGCCTGGATATGGTAGATCACACGTCGTGTTATCTCAATGAGGCTTCGGGTCCATAAGCCAATTTTGCTTTTACCTGTGGTGAACGAGATCACCTCACCTGGCCATAAAAACCCTCTGGGCCACCTGGTGGCACATGCGCAATAGACCGGATGTGTAAACCTACCTGAAGTAGAGGTAATGCTCTTTTGTGAATATGCTTTTGGGGCACACTGCGTTCACTTGTAAATTAACATTTGGGAGAAAGGTGTATGGGGTGTGTGGATGAAACTTTCGCACAAAATCGCTAAAAACTTTTTTCCATGGGCTAACTGTTTTGAATACAACAATATAATTTGTATGGAGTTTTACCAATTATATATGTAAAATACAAAAGTAAATGAAACATCTATATCTTATTGAATATCAACATCATGCCAATAAGTCGGCTATATCTGTTAATTGTAAAATATTTATTCACATAAAAAATGAAACTGTCAAGATAAAATCTGAAGGTTAACTGTAACATCATTACTTATACACAATCTACCAGTATTGGGGTCATGGTTTATTTATCATCTGTTTATTTCTAATACATACTTATGAAGACGCTTCAGGCCAGAAATGAATGAGCTCAGATCTTCACCAGGCACACACAAAAACAAAGAGCAACACGTGCGCGCACCGAGGTGTTAATGGTAATGATGGTCCAAAAGGTATTTTCTTTCAAATTCTAACCGGACACATGTCGACTCTACCTATAGGGCGTTCAACAACATGGTTGTATTGCACTGTCAATTGCAGAATGGAAAGATATATCTGGCTTGAGTTATGGTATATTATTTAGTTGATATAAATATGACAAATAAACCATAACGACAATTATTCCATTTCAAATTCAACAGTGAATTATAAGCTATGTAGTCTAGATATATAGCCTATTTTAAACAACAGGCCTTTTCCGAAGAAAACACAGCTCAGTTGAAATACAGTCACACAATTTGTAATGCAAATATTGAAATATTTTAGATTACATTTTTTGTATTTGACTTGCATTTGACTGTGGTGTTATAGTCCATCATTGGCAACTGTGCGGTCTATAACCTTGTATACTTTAATATTCCCTCAATGTTTGACTTCAAAGACCATCGATTTGAGAAGAATAAAAGTGCAGGCAGGAATACAGATAAAATAGAACAATCTAAAACATATATTCAGAGCAACAAGGTGTAGCCTACTGCAATACTGTGCACAGGGAACGCTGCATGTGTGTTAAGGAGTTTTGGACAGGATACGTTTCCATGTGAATATTCAACCTGTTTGTCTAAGGCTTGGTTTCAACCACTTCCACCACTGCCACGAGCCCCCGGCACAATTTCAGTTAAGCATCATAAAACCGTACAATATGTTTAATAGGCAACGATACTGAAACGACTGGTTGCACCTTTTGGGCATTGATATATCTCACAGTTTAGCAAGGATAATGCGCAATACATTTTGCCAATAACATCTAAAATGTATTATTATTAGTAGTAGTAGTAGTAGGAGTAGTAGGAGTAGTAGTATTTCAGATGTTTACTGAATTATTAGTCCTATGCTAAAGAAATTGTCTACTTCACAACATGACATGCCATAGAATATTACATAGGCGAGAGAAACTCATCCTCGTGTGTAATTCTTATTTTGTGCGTAATTCTTATTTATCCAAACTTTGGCGCATTACTTTATTCATTATTTAACAAGTTAGGAGTGATGAAACGCTAAGCCTTATAGCTAAGTAAAGAAAAATCAAATGGTTTGAAGCACTATAAAATCACTCCGCTGCAAGGTATTTACCATTATCCAGGAGTAAAACATCATTTACACAGGATTTGCCTATATTATATTCCTCCGCAAATCTATAGAGAGGCCTCTCACATAATGTTATGAATTATGGATTTATAGTCGTGTAGGCCTACCCTATGCGTTTCAAGTGATGAAACAATCGTTGTTTTCAAATGATGATCCCCAGAATAATAAGTTGTGGTCTGGCGCCATCAAGCACTAAGAGAAAGAAGAGCACTGCAGAAAGGCAAAAAAGCTTCACATTCAACTGTAATTGAAACCAAATGTATTGAAATGGAAATACAAGAAGAAAGTAAGCCAAAAGCCTACCAGGTCTGTGCAGTGCAGTTCGCAACATGAGTTTTCAGATCACTGCAAGGGTAATTTTGTTTTATAAAATAGTCTATATGCAAAGATTACCTTTAGGCTATATCAAGAACCTATACATAAACGTGAATTATTCGCTATAGTGGAATCGAACACATCTTCTGCTTTCAAATTAACCCTTTCGTCTCAACCTAAAATCCTTCATAATGATAGCCATCTCAGATTTGGCCCAATCTGGACACAGACGTCAACAGGCATACATCTTAACTGATCCTCTTGCGCCATCTTGTGGCTGAAATTATACAATTTAAAGGGACTATATCCGATGCAAACTAAAACGTTTTCCACTGACATTGGCTGTGAGCCTACTACTGTAGTCGATTCACCAGGACAGTTATTACATATTTCACTTACTTAGGTACTTGATAGACCTATTCTGTTTTGGCAGTAGGCCTAGTTGGCTATAGTGCTCCATTCTGAAAATATGTCAGTCTAAAACTCCTTACAAACACTCAAATTCAACTCATATTAGGCATATCTCTGACTGAGGATATTCTTGTCTGCATTAGGCCTACATTTATGAAAAGTAGTTCATTCAGGCCTAATGTGTCACAATACATTCACTGAAAATAAGGTCCCACTATCAGTTGTTTTTCATCAATTAATGACAGTCCTTTCATTGTAGGGTTTCACAATTCATTGTAGACTTTTAACAGAGCTCATGTGACTTTTAAGTTATTGGGTGCATTCCAGCAGATCACTTTTGTCAAGTCGGTGACATGGTCCGACTACTGCATTTGGGCCCCACCCCATGGTGCAGAGAGAGAAATGTGCAGTTTTATAATACTATTCTACACATTTTGTCATAAGGCTAAGAGAAAATGTTGCCGTTTTAAAGCAAATTTCCTGCAACTCTACACTTTTTGCCATGGGGCAGATAATGTTTTTGTTGCTGTTTTAAAGTTCATCTCATGCTTTTGTTCACATTTTGCCATTAGGCTGAGAGAACATTTTGCAGTTTCAAAGCTAATTTCCTGTTATTCTACATATTTTGCCATGAGGCTGAGAGACAATTTTGCAGTTTTAAAGCAAATTTCCTACAATTCTACTAATTTTGCTGTCATATGCTAACAGGGTGCCCTGCGTGCCACTTCGGTAATCCGGCCCTGGTCAGTCACCACCTTTCAAAGTCTGTTGCATTATGGGGATAAAAATTGTCAGATTTGCCTACTGCAAGTTTCTGCAGTTGCTCTTCAACGTCATTCTGCAGCCATTGCCTGCATTGTGGGAGGCTCTATTGTCAACAAATCATTATTTTTTCTTTATTTTTACTCACGTGAATGTGACCAAAGATGTGACTGAAACATGAACCAACTTTGCTGTGATTCATGTATACAGTGGATATATACAAATGAATGTGATGTTTGAGGCTCTCTCTCACTAATTGATTGTACAATGTGCACACATATTGTATGATTTCAGTTTGTGAGTGTATGATATGGGGGTTGGAGACATGTTTATTTCGAGCCTTGCTGTTGAAAAACCTCCCCCAACTTCACTCCTCGACATTCATCTACAATCGGTTGCTTTAGCCTTACCACTCAAACCCTCCCATTTTGAAAGGTTGTCAATCATATTTATGCCACGTTCAGATGCTAGTCGGGATTCAGAAATGTTCGACTTGCTATCTGGTTGAATGTGGCACGTGTATAACTACAACCAGTTTGCAAGTCGGAAATTTCAGCGTTTCCTAGTTCCGAATACCACGTCAACGCAGCATCATCTTTATATCTGTGCCATTATAGCGTCTGTGACAGCAGACAACAACCCATAGGAATCTTCAACCAATTGACTACTTTGACTACTTTAAAATGGCGGAAGCATGGTGGAAGCCCTCAATGGCGCTGCCCATGCCAAAGCGGCCTTTTGGCAACTAAAGGCCTCTATCATTCTCTATGGTGTCACTTTTTAAACGTTTTGGAATTTGGGTAAATGGGATACGAGTTCTAGTAGTGTTCCAGACAGCTGATGTGTCCTGGCTACCATGTTGAGAAAAACTTCACTTCCCATCAGTTCTTTGGCAACGCGTCATTGCTACGATTTACGTTGTCTGTGCACTATCATTGGTGGCTCGGTTGTCACTACGAAGCAGCGGTAAAGGACATATCGAAAGAAGTAAGGTTGTACACAAACTAGTGTTTTAGTATCCAAATATTTCCAAAGTTTGACAATGTATCTGCATATGAATTAATATCGGTAGCAAACATACATGCTAGTAGAGATTCTATTATGCGATTCGGTGTGCATATAGGCTGCTGTGGTGCACTGCTCTCGTAACATTGATGCTAGGCTATGTTGCTCTGACTTGCACTCTTGTGGGACTGGCTTAGCCTACTAGTTACCCAACCGACACACAAAATGTACAGAAGAAAGTCAAATATGTGATCTATTGAAATGGGAAACATTGTAGCAACGTTGGGACAATTAACCACGGTGTTCCCCTGAGGAATTCAGCTAAGCTAGGATAGGCTATTGTATGGAAGAACAGCTTAAATCAGATACCACTTGGCCATTTTTTTACAACCTTCAAACTGTACGGTCATTGGTTACATGTGTTTTGCAACAATGCTCTTTTTTTTTTTTTTACATGTACAGCGCAGCAGAATGATCCTTTAATCTAATATGACTAACTTGCTACATTTGTATCATAGGCACGTGCCCACTGACAATTGTTCTGCAGTGGGTGTGTGGTGAATGTCGATAGTACCGTTCTCCCTCATTACGTCGTTATGTGTTCTAATCTAGATGACTGACTGGGTCGGATACGGGTATGCAGCCCTCATTGCATCCGGGGGAGCGATGGGCTATGTCAAAGCACGTAAGTTTATTATTGTGCCATCCGGTTTACTCAATTATATAGTTATATAGCCATTTACAGGTGAGTTTAATGCATTCTATCATATTTCTAGTCTTGTGCTTCCCCATACTTGATAATGAACTGGTAACCAAGTTACCACTCACCCTGTACTTCTTTTGGTGTCTCCAGGCAGTGTCCCCTCCTTGGCAGCAGGTCTTCTATTCGGGGGCCTAGCTGGGGTTGGTGCCTACCAGATATCACAAGATCCCAAAAATATTTGGGTGTCACTAGGTTGGTGAACTTAAGTGTTGGTCCTTACTGTTTTATGAATGTACTCTATCACTAAGTAGTTTCTGTCACATCTAGACTCACCAACCAATAAAGCATGCTTGCAACAGGCCTCCCATCGCCCAGACCTCTCTTGATCACCACTAACCGACTTCTAGCTACTCATGATAATTAGGTCTACAATAGACAAAAGGTGTAATGTGTCCGCACTCAAAAAGATGTTGCATAAAGCTTACTTCACTTTTCAATTTTAATTTACATTTTCACTGCATCAGGAATAGCGTACACAGAGGTGCAACATTACACCTTTTGTTTGTCTGAATTCGCGGGTTTTACGCACCAGCCAAGCTTCTGGGAGAGCATGATGGTCCCCTATTGAGTAGGTCTACAATAGGCCTAATATACTGTACTGAGAGTAATTTCCCCCCTGTATCAAACAGTCACATCAGGAGCCCTGGCAGGTGTGATGGGAAAGAGATTCTACGGCTCCAGGAAGATTATGCCTGCTGGACTGATGGCAGCAGCAAGGTAGCTGAGATGACCAACTCCTTACTTTGTTTCAGGAGTAGGTCATAGGTATGCATTCAGATGATACAGTAAATTATCTTAAGGTACTTAATGTGTTATTTTCTCTTCTTTGTCTAGTATCCTTATAGTAGGAAAGCTCGGTGTTGGAATGCTGCTGCAGAAGCCCCAGGAGTCATAGTGCATTGATATGAACACTTTCAGACACTGATGTAAAAATCACTATCCTCTCTTTATTTTCTACTGTCTTGTATTGTTCAGGTACAACCTGTCATCAGTCATATGTGGATGTTATTTTGTAAAAATTTATAATTGAACACTGATTATAATATCTTATAAAATGACAAGGACTGTTGTGCGTTTTTGTTCATATTGTTACACAGATTGTCATTACATGTTCCAAAAGTTACAAGAGATGAATGAACCGTGAAGTTGTGTAAAAGGTTTATAAAATGGCCAGTGTTTAATAGCTGCATCTTAAGTGTGGATTGTCATAATACATAATATAATAGAAGTCAATACCTCTTTAGCCACTGATACAGTAAGTGGCTATTCAAGAGATGAAAATTAGTGATAAACCTTTACAATAACAGTTTTAGGAAACATTTCCTAGTAGAATTTCCTTTGAGTTGAGTAATGTAAACAAAGTTTAAAAATAGAAACAGAATAACTACATTATAAAAATCTAGAATACAAAATCCACCATTATATTGGTTCTAATCTTATAAAACCGATTGTAAGAGGGATGTCATGTTTCTACATTAGACTCAATCCAGACAGCACCCAATGGCCTTCATTCAGGACATGGTTGTCTTTGAGGGATACTTTAGAGCAGCCCTATCAACCAGTCTATCAGAAATTACCATAGCTCAGTGTTTCCCAACTCCGGTCCTCGAGTACATCCAACAGTACATATTTTTGTTGTGGCCCCAGACAAGCACACCTGATTCTACTTGTCAACTAATCATCAAGCCCTTGACAAGTTGAATCAGGTATTTTTGTTCGGGGCTACAACAACAATATGTACTGTTGAGGGGACTGGAGTTGGGAAACACTGCCATAGATGGCGCCAAGTTACAGGGAACTGGCCTCCTGGCATATGTCTTGCCTTCATATATCACCCAATGATGCCAGTATAAAACCAACAACATGTATATATCTCCTTGAACATCCCAGTACATTTGTTACTTAGTTGTAATGTATTGGAGGCCTTTCAGAAGTACATGCACTGAGGGAAGTAAAGTTCAGAGCAGAGCTACAAAGGGTTTTCCTTCTCAGTGCAAAGACTGGCTAAACCTGTGAGTTGGGTTTACAGCATCTCTTGATGCACTACCGATTGCCTCCATACTTGGATGCCCAGTCTACCCTCCCATGGACTGGCTGTACAGGTGGACCTCTAGTCAGAAGGTTGCCAGAGGTTTTCCCCAGGGCAGAGTAGCCCTGGCCTTTGATTTGAGGCTTGTCCGCCCTCCTTTTCCAGCCGTCATAATCTGAAAAGAAAAAAGATCTGAGTGAGTGACACCTCCATGTGCTGAATTTACTATTCCATATTTACAGAACCCCCTCTTAACACAGACACCAAGGTCCCATCCAGAAACAACACACCCTCTACCAATTCTTTTTTTTTAACCACCCATATAGGCACTTGTGATCTGAGAGTATTGGGCAGGTGTTGGCAAGGTGGAGCAACAAATATATTTTTTATACCTGTCCAATCCTTTCAGATCTATGCAAGTGCCCTGGCATGAGGGGTTGTTTCTGGACAGGGCTATAGCGTGTCTACCTCAGCCTCAATGTAACCGTCTCCCTTGTCTACTTGAGACAGATATCCCTGGGAGACCATCCGGTCACTTTCACTGAGCCCAATAAGTGCTCATAACAATGCATCAAAATGTCTCTAGTTAATGTAATGTAGATTAATGTTAATGTTGATTAAGTGCTACAGCTCTTTAGCAATGCAGATCCCTGGTTCTTGGATGCCAGTGTGTCTTTGGGCTCCCTTTCCAACTGTGGCCTAACAAATAATCACAGGCTTCTTATCAGGTTTAAGGGCAGGCTATTGACTAACAAAGGATTGCTATAAATAAATAGACTTCAATGGCACCTACATCAGTAACTGTGTGGGTCGGTTCTAAGAGCATGGTGGTAACAACACCAAGGTAGTGGGTTCAATTCCCAGAGGGATCACATACACACATAAAATGAATGCACTCATTGTAGTGTAATTTGCTTCAGATAAAAGCATCTGCTAAGTGGCATATTTTATATTATTAGCCTGGGACTGAAACACTGCATTACCTTCAGTGTTTTCACTCATTGGCGTGCTGGAGGTGGACTTTGTCTTTGAAGGTTTTGGTTTGACATTTTTGTTATCAGGAGTAGAAAGATCAACTGAGACAGAGAGCAAGAGATGAGTTTATAGTGCAAAAAATGGAAAGAAAAAAATAGTATAGAATGATGAAATGGCAGAAACAGTGAAAAAGAGAAAGGATGTAATGGTATGAATCCCTCCAAAGTGGCCTTATTTGTGTCTGCTGTGCCATCTAGTCCAAAGACCAGAGCATTTTTATGCCAATTAAAAAGGTAAATATAGGATCTTACTTGTGTGCTGGCCGGCAAGAGGAGCAAGCTGGATCCTTTGACCCACAGAGCCAACCTCTTTCTTCTGAAAGGAGGGAACATAACCTCCAGACAGATTGTACTTTGTACTGACAAAGTTTCCTGAAAGACAAAAACCAGATTGATTTAATACAGACAAACTCTATTCATAACAAATAACGCTTCACTTGTACATCTTTAGCAGCAATTCATTTGTTATTTAGCGTTCGGTCATAAAAATGACCATGGTTCCAGCAACCTTAATCTATTTAGTAATCTAGAGCGTGGTTCTCGTGTAGCAGTGTGTGTTTGGGCTCTCTCTCCTGCTGTGTCATAATTGGCGGGGCTCATGAACATGTTAACCCACACCCACAGTATTAGGAAAATGGTTGAATAAGCAGCAACACTTATTTCACTTTAGTATAGCCACCATAGAACAGATACGTAAAACATGTTACTAAATGTTTATGAAAATCGGGCAATATTGCTAATGATTATACCTAATAATAAACCACTTGAATTAATTTTACTATAGATCTTAGCTAATAGAGGTCAGCAGCAGGAGAAAGCATGAATCCATGAACATACAAAGACATGAACATTAAATTCTAAGTCTTTACAATTAAAGTACCTTTAGCTGAATCAGGTATTCTTTCTTTTAGAACAGATTTATCCGTAGATTTATCAGAAGGGTTATCAGTGTCTTCTGCTCCCACAGTTAAAGACAGGGGGGATAAGACAGTACACACATGCAAGCAGAGAGGGAAGAGAGAGTTAGAGGAAAGGAGAGAAATTGGTGAAATGAAGCAACAATATAGTAGTCGAGTCATTAGAGAAGCACAGTGAAATCTAAGTCAGAAAGGGTATGAATGTTACATAGAGAGAAAGATGAGGAACACTGCTGTAGATTTCGGCGAGAAATTGGGCCACCCAGTCCATAAACTCAAGATGGGGGGTGGGAGGGTGGGCTTGGAGACACTTGATCCTAAGTAACTGTCTTAATACTCCTCTAATCTCATGAATAAGGAAAGTGGGGGGCAGAGGGAGAGCACAGAGGCACATATTGTGTGTCTGTCTACATGACAAATGAATAATGGAGGCTCCCGTCTCCAAAGTGGCCCAGACGCTTAAGCACAGTAGCATACTCCAAACAGTTGCTTTCTTTGTGCCGAGCCTCCACTAAAAGATCAGGGCGAATCAGGAAATGAGCATTGTGGAACTAAAGCATATGGCGTTTAGGACCTTTGTGATATGGGGGCATAAGAGTAGGAGGGTACATGTGTAATATAAAGTGACAAAGGGTTACCTGCGTTGACTCTGGTGACGGACAAACCAGCTCCAATGGGACCAAGGGGTTTACTGTTGACATTGGTGGAGTTGTCCCACAGATCTCTGAGTGTCGGCCCACTGGGCTCCTTGTCTATAGAGTTCTTGCCGATCAACCCTGAAAGGAAAGAAGCGCTGGGTCTGAAAATATGGATGGCTGAAACTGACATAAGAGGAACCAGTTGATACATGAGAAAATATACCTCCCAAAAATGACTTGCTTATCTCACATGCTCCTTGTTTAAAGCAAACAAACAAATAAGCCAATTTTTAGTTGGTCTTACCAGGCAGATATCTTGATTGACTCAGGTAATGTTGTCTTGCTGAGGAGCCCGGGAGACTGGAGTCCATTTGGCCCATCTTAATATTGCTTGGTAACTTAGTAACAGTGCTGAAGGAGTATATCGGTTTTTGCTCTTTGGATCTGAAAGACAAAGGCACAAAATCAAACAGTAGGAACAACTCAGACAATTCCTCTCAGCCAATGAAATATTTCCATTAGATTGAATATGAACCTCCTACAGGTAAATCAACCTATAATAGGGTAGCTAACTGTAAAGGCCACTTTTCTTTCTCATCGTTTGCACTAATAGTAGTAGTAGAACTTTATTGTCACAGAAAGGGAATTGGTTTGTGGCATAATACATTAAATGGAAACATAACGTTACAAGTAAATCAATACCAGGAGACGTCTATGCAGGGAGGAAGAGGAGAGTGGTCCTCCACAGTAATACAATCATTGATCATCTTACTGCGGATTACTTTGGTCCTTGTGGCCCTTCTCCTCCTCTGATCCCAGGCTGGGTTTCTTGGAGTGGGACACAGAGGTCTCAGAAGGTTCTGACTCGTCCCAGCTCTCTGTGGCCTTTACCACTGTCTGGCCCCAGCGCCTCCGCCCGCTCTTCAGACCTACCGCTGCACTGTTCTCACTCCCAGTCCCGGTCCCCACCACGGCAGATGGCTTCTGCCAAACGCAATACATTTCATAGGTCATGAATCATTCAGTTATATGTCCAAGTCCAAATAGATACACAGACGTCTCTGAGTTTGATTTCAAGGGGGGACTGTGTAATAATGTTAAAATTACTGTTTTTAACATGTTTTGCAGTTATTCCACTCACCGTGTTGGAGTTAGTGACTTGGCCATGTGAAAATGTCTGGTCAGTCTGATGGTCTGTCTGCTGGAGTGGCTGTTGGGGGGCCTGGTGGTGTCTGCTGGAGGCTTTGGGGTGGTGGCCCTGGGAAGTCCGGGCAGAGGAGTCTGCTGAAGAGGACTGCAGCTCACCTTTGGGCTCTGATGAGCCTCGGGATTGAGTCCTCACCGTGGCCTTGCGTATCTCACTCCCGGGCCGAGGCCCCAACACCTGGCCCACCTGGAAGTAAGGGTACCGCAGAGCCTAGAACACACAGAATGGGGATATGAATAGGATTAATTTGTTATCAAAATACACTGTTTCCCATCATGGAATTAACTCAATTATCTATTCAATAAGACCCACTCTAGTAGGTCGTCATTCAACAAAGTCATAACCACAGCAATATTTAGAATAACAGCAAGAAGAAAAAAAACTGGAGAATGGCCAACCTGGGGATTGAACCCCCATCGCCAGGGGGATGCTCCACCTCTAGACCTGACTCCGGCACATAAAGTAAATATGTTGACCAGCCATAAACAAGTATTGCGTAAGCAGCACATGGAAGAGCCTCATGAGGCCCTTGGGGTAATCAGACAGTCTTTGTGGGGCATGACTCACAGCACACCTAGCCAATGACTATGTAACAGGCGTTACGGTGCTGCTTAACCGTACCTCTTCCTCCCTCACCAGCTCACACAGAGACTGGAACTCAGGACCTCAGTCTCGCAATCACATGTGACTGTCTCTTGACAACGTCTTAGCCAGCTGGCGTGGATGGAGACATTTCAAGCTGAGGAGTGAGTTTTTACCATGCCCCATCAGTTACATATAGGAGCTGAAACAGATCTGGGACCAGGCTACAGCACTGTGATGCCTTTATACCTGCACGGCCGTGGGTCTCTTCTTAGGGTCCCACATGAGCAGGTCCTTCATCAGGGCGATGGCCTCTGTGCTGGCGTTGGGGATGAGGGTCTTCAGGTGGGTGGGCACACACTGAGGGAAGCGGAAGTTCATGGCCGAGGCCAGCTGGTAGCCCTCCGGCCAGTCAGACTGGTACAATAGGAGAGGAGAGGAAAGTTCATTTAGAGACATAACTACTGTATGAGGTTTCATGAACTATGTTCACTCAGTATTAGATGTCTCAATGCTTCACAATATCTGTGTATGTTGGAAGCAATACAGTATGTCAACTATTCATACCCATTAGAGCTAATTCGATAGTTTTTTATTAGAAACACATTCCATTACAAGAATTACACATGTCAATAGAAAACTGTATTATTCTAATCAGCTTAATTGAGCATGAATAGCTGGTTTACTGGATTACTTCCAACACACACACACATTTTCACCAGGACATCATTTAAACTATAACACACTAATACTGTATCTCTCTGTAGACAGAGGATTGGTTGCTCTTCTCTCGCTTACCTTCTTGACTGTGCCCAGAACCTGACAGATCTTGAAGATCTCGTCCACCTCGCTGTTCCCGGGGAACAGAGGCCTAAGGGCGTAGAGCTCAGCCATGATGCAGCCCACTGCCCACATGTCTATGGGAGAGCTGTAGATGGACGACCTGAGCAGCACCTCTGGGGCGCGATACCTAGACACAACAACAGCACAGTGATTTTTCAACTTCATTATGCATTGTTTAAAATAAGAGGGGACCAAATGTTCCCACTGAACTATGGAGGGTACCTCACCATCTTGTGGACACATAGTCCGTGTATGGGGGGCGGGAGCGGATCTCTCTGGCCAATCCAAAGTCGGCTATCTTGACCAGCTCTGGGCCCATGCAGAGCAGGTTTTCAGGTTTCATATCCCGGTGGAAGAATCCTACGCAAGAGGTCATGGAGAACACTCAGCTCAACCTCTTCACAAGTCATCCAGAAGGATGTTTTAAATATTTATTTTGATCATGGTGTGTCTAGGTGAAGACCACATTTCATACTTGATTGCTGTTATGGATTTTAGTTTTACATGAATAATTCAGTCAAAATATATTCTAATGGCTTTAAATTGATAGTTCAGTACATTAATTTGGGATTGAGATCTATAGATGGATTCTAATGTACTGGGATCTACACACAACAAGCATACAATAAGGACTTTGCTTGACTTTAGACCACTTTTTGAGGAAGATATCGGACTAACTTTGAACCAACCATCCCTTTAATCCCAAGACAATGGAGTGAACCATCCCTTTAATATGCATCATATGCGGTTTTGCGACATGGAGTAGTATGCTAATTCACAAAAAGCCATGTCACGCAAACAGTAGACAAAAGAGCAGCAGGAGGATGAAGCATCTCACCATGCTTGTGCACAAACGCCATCCCAGACAGCACTTGGAACATGATGTTCCTAATTTCATTCTCAGTGAACATCTTATTTTCCCTGGCGGCGTAAAGGAAAGGCACACAAGAGGAGAAGAGAAAGGAGGGAGAAGAAAAGAGACAAAATAGGAAAAGAGAGAGAGATGAGATAAGGAGACAGCCCCCAGGATGCATACAGCCCATAGGACTAGTGGAAACCGTGGTCGTGTTGGACAAGCACAGACTGAGTTAGCGTGGTGTGTGAGAAAAGAACAACTCTTGCCAAGTCACTCACGCTATAACAGGCCAGATGGACTAGAAACCTGTTTACCTCAAGAGTTTAAAGTGCTTTTTAACACTGGGTTGCACAAGTGAGGTATCCACATGTCCGTTCACCGAAACAACAAGACAAGACAACGGAGGTCTAACCAAGGGTGACAGCCAGCCAGGTGCTAGCTAGCTAGCGTGTGAAAGGCTAAATATTTGTCAGTGTTTACAGACAATAGCCAACTCTATGAATGATGGGAGCGCCAATGACAGCTGAGACCACTGTAGCCCCAGTTGTCCTTGGTGTGTCAGAGGACAGAGTCAAGTGGTTCTTATGCGGGAGACCTACCATGTTTATGGATAAATGATAGGCCTTGTAATATCTGAAAGCTTATGTTTCTGATCGCTGATTCAGGGAACAACTTATTTCTGCAAATGAAGAATTGATAGAATTGTCAATTGATAAGACTCTATATAAAACTTCAAATTAATTCTGGGTTGTATTCATAAGGGCACGGAACGGAAAACATCTTTTAACGTTTCGTAACGGAAAACACGGCTTTTTCCATTTTCTTCTGTTTGGTGCCAAATGAACACAACCCTGTTGTTTCCCACTCTTAAATAAATGACTTGCCCAACAAGCATTATCTATTAAACCATTTTCATGGTTTCAGGGTTTTGTAGTTTGAAATTAAACGCCCTTACCTGTCCTTCATGAGCTGATAGAGATTCTCTTTCATGTATTCAAAGACAAAGTACAGGTGGTCGTTTTCTCTGATGACTTCCTTTAACTTCACCACGTTGGCATGATTCAGCTTCTTCAGTGACTGTGGAAATACATCATGGGATGGACCAAGATGATGAAATATGATGATGTCTTTAAATTAAATATAGTGACAAACATTCTTTAGAATATAATCATCATAAAATAGCAACTGAAATGTAATAATTGAATTCCATAAGCAAGACACGATTGTCATTGTTGTTAGTGATAATTGTAAGCACTTCCAGTTGGTGCTGATACCATCCCTTACGAAACATGAAATGTACCTAAAACATTCTGTTAATCATGTGTTGTGTACCAATCTTCACCTTCACTTCTCTCAGATTCATGCACTCTTCCCACGAATAAAACTTCCTCTTCATTCTGTAAACGAGACAAATGGCATGATGTTTACAGTTTCAATGCCATTTTTTCACCCTACAGGAACATCCGTTATGCTTTACTAATCTAATTTTTTACTCTGCAGCCCACTAATTACATAGAAATCCCACACTAATATATAACATAAGAATAGGCTAATAGTTCCATTTCAGTTTCTTTGTAATCTATAAAAGCACCACTACTAAGTTTGTGATACTAAGATATTAATTATTATTAGGCCTAAATCTTTCAAAAAAGTGCCCCAAATGTATCTATCTATATAGTGACCACATCTTTTCAATAAATGCTAGGTAAACACTAACTGAAACAGGACTGTAAAACAAGGCGTTAATGCATCATCAAGGCGTCATTTACAGATGTACTGTACATGAAATGAAACCTTATTCCCAATTAACATTGGAGGTGTTCATTACATGTCAGCTAATACATGTTGCTATGTTTAGTAGATAGTAGGTCCACCACCTGGTATAACTGGCACTCTAGTACAACCTGATCCGTCCAGAGACTTTATTCTGACACTCCCGTCTGATATTATGTAACGGGGACATGCCGATATCACACTCCTCCTCCTCCTCCAGGGCATCCGCCAATGCCTCTCTCTGCGGCAACACAACACTGCGGACTACTTTCACTCCTTTCACCGTCACCATGGCTATCACTTTGCATGGTAACGAAGCGTTCACCCCCCCCCCCCCCCCCCCCCCCCCCCCCTGCATCCATTATTCAACCTACCCTCCATGATGAAAGGCAGACTTGTAAGCTGGCTTGCCTTAGTCATGGGGAAACCTAAAGTGAGACTTCAGCCGGATTTGATTGTAGCTATGTAGTATACAGCCAGAGAATTGTGTATGGTTCCTGGTTACCCTAAATCTAACCTTAAGCCTAACATTAATCCTGAACTTAACCAATATCGATCCCTATATTTAACCCTCCCCTTTCTGTCAGCTGAATATACACTTCCTTGATGCTACGTTGTGCCAGGCATGAAGGTGTTTCAATCATCATGACTCATGAAGGTGTATTTTAGGATGGTAGTGCAGTTATGTGCTTCAAAATGGCCGCTTGTGAGTACACTTAAGGCGTCCGCATGCTTCCCTCCGAAACAGTTCGGAAGAGTTTGTGCATATATTATGATTAAATTTTTTGCCGTTTTGGACTTCGGTAAGGTTTTTTTTTCGGCTGTTCGGGCACACCGAAGTTGGTAGCCAAAGTCTATGCCACTTCTTTGGTGATAGGTCAACAGTAGGGATTCTTCAATAAAGTCTTTGTTGTCATTCAACAAGAGACAACTCGTTTTCATGCACATTTTTTCATTGAGAAATACTGCACCAAACATCTTAGTTAATGTAAAATTATGCGGCTAAGATTTCTTGAGTTATATTAGATTAATTCTGACTATTTTGAGGAAGTGTATACTGGCCATGGCATCTCAAAATGGACAAACAGTACTATTGCCGCTTTTTTCTTGTTTTTCAAGCGAAGGTCTTTTAAGGGAGTATGCGAGCACACTCGTTCGGTTTCGCCTAGCCTAGGCGCCAGCCGAACTGAAGCATGCTGATGCCTTTAGCCTCTCAGAACAAAACCATGTGAGTAAACAAACCACCCAGACCCTCGACTAGTGTATTAGTACTATACATATGTACCTCTTGATAGGCATCAGTGTAGGACTATACGTACCTCTTGATAGGCATCAGTGTAGGACTATACGTACCTCTTGATGGCCACCAGTGTAGGACTATACGTACCTCTTAATAGCCACCAGTGTAGGACTATACGTACCTCTTGATGGCCACCAGTGTAGGACTATACGTACCTCTTAATAGCCACCAGTGTAGGACTATACATACCTCTTGATGGCCACCAGTTCTCCCGACTCGTTGCTTTTCCCCATGAGCACGCTGCCATAAGTGCCATCTCCCAACTGCTTCAGTTGCGTGTAGCGATTCATTGTCTCAGAATCATCAGCTTGAGCGAGATTCAGGGTGCTTCTCTCTCCTAAATGATAGTTCTACCAGTCCTCTCTTTCTCACACTCTCTGTCTCGCTCACTATATCAATATATGATGTTCTTCATTGGTGGGATTCACAGAAGGTCACACAGGAATGGTGCCATTGCTCTCTCCTGATGGGATCGCCACACTGGAGGTCAGCCAAATGTTACACTCCTTCCTGATCCTGGCATATCTTCAACAACACAGAAAAAATACAATACTGTCAACTTTAAGGTAACCAGTCGCCTACAGGAAATCATAAACAACAACAAAACAGGACTGTCAGTAGTGGAAGCTCCCAAAGTATATTCCTAACTATCTCAATGAAAGGGCTGTTGAATGAAAGTAAAGAAGTAGAGAACGTCCTCTCTTCCTCCTCGTTGAGAAAGAGGTGAGGAGGAGGATTAAGTGTGTGACAGCAGGGCCTGAGGCTGAGCTGACGCCGTCGTCACACTACCCAGGGACATGACACATTAGTGGCCAGGCGTGGCCTGCCGGTGATTAACCCCACTGGGATATAAATAGGACATTACATCACCATCATGCTCACTTACCAGTACTAACTCTGTCCCAAGCTCCCGACTCCCAACCCTGCATGACTGGCAATTGGATTTCAAGGGACACAGCAACAGTAGTCAGAGTGTTGGCTACTACAGTACAGAGGTTTGTTTGAGGTAAACATGTCATGTCATGCTTACGACAGGGACACAGCATTGCCCATATAGGCTATGACCCCAGTTGCTTTGTGTTGTATTCTGATACAATATAGTCTAAATATATCAAACAGTTATCAAACCACTAAAATGACAGAGGCTATACTATAGCTATACTATGTTCAATAAAGGAGACTAAAACTGACATTTCAAAGCAGGTTGCTTATCTGGATTAGACACTGCAGAATTGACTAGGCCATTTGGTCCCTTGGGCTAATTCTGACTTTTTAATTTGTTTGTTGTTCAGAGTGATTTCAGATGCAGTTATAGGTGATCATTGTTGAATGGAAGTTTGAATATTCATATCACCAACAGCTTTCTAAAAAGCCATACTTGCACAATAAAATTGTCACATCTAGGGTTAATAATCATACCACATGTGTATACTGTCTGTATTTAGGCTAGTCGATTCAAGGCCGCTGAATTAGATTATTCTCTAGGATTAAATAAGACTGGTCCATTCAATTGAATTTCAAGACACATGCAAGAGACTGCTCTCCATCAAATATGAAAATAATGTTTTGAAAATACTTTGCACTGCAATGTCTGCCCTAAATCACTTAATAAATTGAACTGAAAACAGAGAAAACTGCATAAAAGTATGATGTTCTATCTTCTCTATAATTTCATTGCTTGCTCCAGTCAAGTCTATAACAAAACTCCCTTTCTTAAGACCATATGCCTCAGTCTAAAACAGGCAGGGAATGGTGAGCAAGGAAGGGCCTCTGTAACAGATTGCTGGAGTCCACTAAGCTTTCACAGCAGTGTAATCTGTTAGAGAGGGGTTTAGGAGGAATTACAAAGATGTATTGAGGGCACATGACATTAAGAAGCTCCTGAAGGTCGATGATAAAGCTGAAACACGCACACGTTTTATGATACCAAAAGTGATAGGATAACTTAACAACCACAAAGGAATTAGAGTTTTGTATTAGGAGACTGTCTTTTCTGGCACTGATGATAGGTCTATGGGTAAAAAACTACTGTCACTGACACATGATAAAATTGGACACAGGCCCAATATGTCAGGATGCCTTGCATTTCAAATGAATAAACTCAATTTATATTATAACCTAACTTTAAATTGAAAGCTATGCTGATATCAAGTGTTTCACATTTCTATGATTAAAGAATATTTAGGCCTAGAATAATATTAGATTTTACAAACTTCTGTCTCTTAATTATTATAGCCTATTTGTGGCTTAGAATTAACCTACACAACAGTATATGTTCTATCATGTGTGGACATATGTCCATAATAATAGTCCTCTCAACTGTCCCTCTTTCTTGGCCAAAACGTTTCTTATTGCCTGTCGTTCTCTTTTTTTATATTTTCTCGGAACTCACCATTTGAGGGTGTTGTTCCTCCAACTGTTTTCTGAGCTTGTAGATAGCGCTGAAGTTTCTTGAGATAAAACGCAAGTAGCGTCCTTAGTGTTTCGATAAGGTGTGTGGCTCTTCTCCTTGGTAACGTAAACAGACCAACGACGTCAGGTGGAAACGCAATGTTTTGTGGGACTTGGTTCGCGTGCCTGAGTGTGTCTTCAGAGTCGAGGCCTACCACCAAGACTAACCAGGGGCCGACGAAACCATAGGCTTCTAAAAAGCTGAAAGGCTATATTTGCGTTAGCTTTTTGTTACCTCTTTTTGTCAAGTATGGCACACAGTACAAAAGTAGTCAACCAAATACCAGTAAAATAGCCCTAACCTTAGCCCTGCTGCCACCAGATGGCGCTATTATTCTTTACGTATTTTGTCACCAGCAGAGCAGCATAACAAGGCAACCTTGAAGGCCTACCGTGTATTGCCAGACATTGCGCACAAAAGTGTAGTTCGTTCCCAACGTTTGAATTAACTTTAATAATGCCAAAATTCTGAAAGAATATAGAAGACCGTATTATTTTCTGTAGATTTAATCATGCACGGTGTTTTACAATTACAGGTATAGATGCTGTTTAATTTCTATTGCGCTTTCAAGACAACTGGGAACTCTGGAGAGAAAAAAACGACGTAAAATCATGACGTCTGTTATCTTCAGGTCAGAGCTCTAGAAAGATGCCCGAATTTCAGACTTGGAATTCCGAGTTGGATGACCGCTCAAAACAATTTTTCCCATTCGGAGATCGTTTTTACACCGAATTCCCAGTGGGTCAATTGGTGCTTTCAAGACAACTGGGAACTCGGTAAAAAACGAGGTCAAATCATGACGTCAGTGATCTTCAGGTCAGAAAGTCGGAGCTTTAGAAAGATGCTACTGCATTCATAGAGGCTAACTGCTTTAGCGCCTATTGATGAAATTATCCTCTGAACTGGGGAGTTTTGTTAAGAGCCCTGAGGCTTGCTCTAAACATTAACAGGCATCACTTTCTGTAAGTTTTTGGAAACATAAGGAACATATATTTCAAATCAGCAATAAATAATTTTCAAAAACAAAAGGTTAAATTACTACACCTTTATAAGGTTAGGGATAGTCTTCCCACAGGGCCATATCTCCATGTTACATGGCTTGTTTACTGAAGACAGATTGAAGACAGAGTGCGGTTACATGCACACAATAATGCGATTGTGGATTGTCAGATTAATATAATAGTTCCATTTAAAATGTTTACATGCTTTGCAAGAAGAACAATTTCCCATTAAGGTGTTTACTTTCCTAATAATTCTAATGATTGCTCAGAAAACCAGGTGTTTTAATCGGCGTATGCTTACTTCGATTTTGACCCTACACCGATTAAGATAAGCAGAGTAAGGCGTTTACATGACTATTGCATAATCTGCCTACTGCATAGTCAGTTTAATATCGAATTATTAGTGGGCATGTAAACCTACTCAGTGGCGGCCACCTGTGCTAATTAGCGATCTAACGTTCTCCGAACACCTGTGTATGTGTAACTGGGGAGGAAGTGTTTTTCATCAACTAGAGGCACACACAGCTTCTGGATCTGTGTAAAACTGCTACAGTAAGTGTATCTTTTTTATTTGAAAGATTATTTATCGCTGATATGAAAAATAAGGGGCATGTCAGCATATGTTTTTCGAAAACCGTTTTGAAAGCAATGATTATTTACTTATCTAAACTTTAAAACACAGCTTTCTAATTGTTGTTCATTCGATGAATGTAAACGATGAAAACTATTTTTCCCAGTTGGTGCTCGTTTTTTTCAGTGTTCCATGCGTCTTGAACACACTGAAGTCGGAAGTCCGAGATTTCCGAGTTCCCAGCTGTTTTGGTGCGGTTGGTGCGGTACCTACCACGCCCTAACAGCGTGAAGCGAACCCTTGCACCTGCGCAGATACTGTGTGAAAGCGAGGTATTGCATATCGCTTATCTGCGGTGGTGCTCGTGGCAACGTCATTTCGCTGAGTCCTTAGAATCCTTAGTTGCTACATTTTTTTTGACTTACCCATTGATTCTTGAAGAATATAACTTATAAATGCCTCATGAGCTTAGTTCAACTGTCGTACCCCATCAGAACTCAACATAGAGCTTAAGCTCGTTTTTAAACAATGTAAATGTAAACAAACACTTTATAGCCTCAACATGGTTAAAACTATAATTTTGATATCATAGATGGTCAGTCCTTGCATCCATAGTTTTGTCTATGAATTTGAAAGTGGTTAAATTTCTCTAGGCCCGTCCTCAGCTTTTACCGAAACAGAGCTTTAAACAACTCACTATTTTGTCAAAATCACATCATTAGTCATTGTGCTTGGACCCAAATAATTATACAGTCGTTGGCATGGAGTATACCTGTACTGAGATAATGTATACCGGTGTGTGATACACAAAGTGAAATTCACGGTAACGTTTTCCAATACAGGGGATGCAGGAGCCAGTTTCCTGACCCAATATAAATCATTTAAAATGTGTAATCCAACAAATAAAATATTGACCCTCCTATAATACTTTTCAAAAATTACCTCTAGAAAAGCATTCAACATTGTGTGTACTTTTTCAGTCACATTATATTGATACATTTGTCCACTATTCCATTGTTTCTTTCACCTATCATAGCAAAACAGAGTAACAAGGCTCTGACAGTGGTAGCAAGGGACCCAATTTTCTCAGGCTGAGGCACTCAGTGTCCAAAGTAACACTTCAGACAGACCAGTCAAAAGGGACAAGGAGGAAAGGCACAGGGTCATGGATTTTGTAACATCCCCATCCTCTAAGTGATTTTAGCATGGACTGAGCTCTCTAAGAAGCACCAGCTGACTACCAGCAGCACTCTACTGATTGAAGTTTCATCCTTTATTTGACTAGTGGTTGGAGATGGAGTATCTGCCTTTTTAATATAAGACTCAGGTGCAGTGGACATACACTGAGTGTACGACACATGAGGAACACCTGCTCTTTCCATGATGTAGACTGACCAGGTGAATCCAGGTGAAAGCTATGATCCCTTATTGATGTCACTTGTTAAATTCACTTCAGTCAGTGTAGATGAAGGGGAGAAGACAGGTTAAAGAAGGACTTTTAAGCCTTGACACAATTGATACATGGATTGTGTATGTGTGCCATTCAGAGGGTGAATGGGCAAGACAAAATATTTACTGTTAGTGCCTTTGAACGGGGTATGGTAGTAGGCGCACCGGTTTGAGTGTGTCAAGAACTGCAACGCTGCTGGGTTTTTCACGCGCAACAGTTTCTCATGTGTATCAAGAAGGGTCCACCACCCAATGGACATCCAGCCCAACTTGACACAACTGTGGGAAGCATTGGAGTCAACATGGGTCAGCATCCTTGTGAAACACTTTTGACAACTTGTAGTCCATGCCCCAACGAATTGAGGCTGTTCTGAGGGCAAAAGGGGGTGCAACTCAATATTAGGAAGGTGTTCCTAATGTTTTGTACCCTCAGTGTATAGTCCCCCTCTATATTGGCCCTCCGGTCAAGGCGACATTGGGAGAATTGGCGTAACTCCCCATTGGAAACACATCAGTGGCTCTGTGTTTGTAATAAGTGTCACATACTAACACTAAATGATGCATGGTGTTCATACTGTTGATTGAATGAGGTTGTTGTAATAATTGTGAATTGTATGACACTTGTTGGGAGAGATGGTCATGGGTCATCCTCACCTAAAAATATTTTTGGCTACTGTTGATAATCTATTCCTATTGGCACAATATACCTGTGCAGAGCTATTATTGAGCATTATGATACCTGTTGTTACACTTATTAGCAGCTATTATTGAGTATTATGATACCTGTCGTTACACTTATTATCAGCTATTATTGAGTATTATGATACCTGTCGTTACACTTATTATCAGCTATTATTGAGTATTATGATACCTGACGTTACACTTATTAGCAGCTATTATTGAGTATTATGATACCTGTCGTTACACTTATTAGCAGTCTATAACTCCCCTGATATTCTTTTTTTCCCTAGGAGAAGTCTTCCCCTAGGAGAACTCCCTCCCGATCCACCCCCATGAAACATCACTTCTGATAAGGGCATCTATGTAAGCATGTGTTGTTAGCTTTTCTATTCACTTGTATATTTTTAACATTTTTACATTTTTTTTGTCATTTAGCAGACGCTCTTATCCAGAGCGACTTACAGTTAGTGAGTGCATACATTTTCATACTGGCCCCCTGTGGGAAACGAACCCACAACCCTGGCGTTGCAAGCGCCGTGCTCTACCAACTGAGCTACAGGATTTTTCTATCCTGAATGCTTGAAACAAAGTGAAAAATGTAATCGAATTTAAACATCTATAATAACAAGATATATCCTGGATTTCAAGAAAAGTTTAAATACAATTTGGGTCGTTGTAAGCTTTCAAATAATATAAAACTCAACAGTTCTTTTTTTCCAGTGATGAAGACATGGATGTCTCATGGTATGGTGGGGTATGCAAAATGGGTTACATTTGAGCACCTTTATCTACTACACTACCAGTCAAAAGTTTTAGAACACCTACTCATTCATGGGTTTTTTATTTTTACTACTTTCTACATTGGAGAATAACAGTGAAGACATCAAAACTATGAAGTAACACATATGGAATCATGTAGTAAACAGAAAAGTGTTAAACAAATCAAAATATATTTTATTATTTGAGATTCTTCAAATAGCCACCCTTTGCCTTGATGACAGCTTTGCACACTCTTGGCATTCTCTCAACCAGCTTCACCTGGAATGATTTTCCAACAGTCTTGAAGGAGTTCCCACATATGCTGAGCACTTGTTGGCTGCTTTTCCTTCACTCCGCCGTCCGACTCATCCCAAACCATCTCAATTTGGTTGAGGTTGGGGGATTGTGGAGGCCAGGTCATCTGATGCAGCACTCCATCACTCTCCTTCTTGGTAAAATAGCCCTTACACAGCCTGGAGGTGTGTTGGGTCATTGTCCTGTTGAAAAACAAATGATAGTCCCACTATGCCCAAACCAGATGGGATGGCGTATCGCTGCAGAATGCTGTGGTAGCCATGCTGGGTGAGTGTGCCTTGAATTCTAAATAAATCACAGACAGCGTTTAA